GCGCACCAGAGACCCCCGCGCTTCGCGCAATGGCCGCCGCGGGCGCAGGAGCTTCTGCCGTCGCGCTCGTTATTTTTTCGCGGTCCGAATGACGAAGGGGCCTCCTCGCGCGTGGCCATGCGCGCGCTGAATTTTCTCATTCAAGATGGCCGATGGGGCGCCGCGCGTTCGGCGGCCCCGCGGCTTCGCGCATGGCGTTTGCGCTGTTAGTGTTCAACATGATGCTGCAGCTGTCGCCGCGCGCCGCGTTCCCGCCCCCTCGCGCATGGCGCTGCTCACTTACAGGGCGCCCCCCGCCCCGAGCCGCGCCCTGCTCCCTCGCGCGCCATGGCCCCGCCCCTCGGCGCCAGTTGTTCGCGCGGAGAGGGCTGGGGCCGCCGCGCGCGCTGTCCCGCGCACGGCGCGCCAAGGCCGCCGCGCGTGGTTGCCGCGCCTGCTCGGACATGACGCCATCGCGATCGTGGCCATGCAGGGCTGGCCCGTTGACACGGGCGCTGTGTTCTCCTAGGCCGATGTGGCCAGGCGGAGTTGGCCAGGGCGCCGCGCGAGCGGCTTCCCTGGCCCCCCGCGCGCGTTGCTGCACCCTGTTCGCATGGGCAAGGGCCGCCATGGCGGCGGCCCAGGCCCCTCGCGCGCGGCGTCGTTCCCTCCGCGATTCGCTTGAGCCGCCACGCGCGCGGCGTTCCCGGTCCGCCGCGCGCTGTTTCTTGTCGCGCCGAATTGGGCAGCCCCCCCCCCCCCCCGAACTCCGCGCAAATGTGTTACTCCCCGCGCGCGGTGGGCGGAGGCTTCCGATCCCGCGGCTGCCCTGGCGCGTCGCGCATTTTATTTCGACGCGCCGAATCGGCCAAGGCGGTCGCGCGCGCGGCGGCCCGCCAGGTCTCTTATCCACTGCGCATGCGGCTCAGGGCCATTGCGGCGGCCAGCGAGCCCGCTTCGCAAGCGCGGGGCAAGGGGCCGGGGGCCGCCGCTCGCACCCCGCCCCTCCCGCGCCCCGTCTCTGGACGCTGGTGCGCGCATTCTCGTTTCCTTGAAGCATATTACTTTTGCTCTCCGTGCCTCTCATCGTATTGTTATGTGTTCTCTCTGGGCCCTTTCTCCAGGATCTGCATGTGTCCCATTGGCTCTCCCGCAGAATCCTTGCTTGCTTTCCTTCGCCAACCGAATGTTCATGATTTCGATTTCGTGGGCCCCGCCCCGGGTCTGTATATTTCCTGCGTGGGCATGGCGCAGAATCCCCATCCGATCGATCAGTGCCCGCTGCAAAACTACTTATTGCCTCGCCGAGGGGGCCAGTGCACTGCGACGCGGGAAGTGCCGTCAGAGCAGATCCTGGCGTCGCGGCAAATTTCTTGCCGTGGCAAGCGCGCCGCGCAATTTGATTTGAAATCTGCCTTCAAACTGCCTCGCGCGGACTGCAGTACCCCCATGCTCGCGGGAAAGATGCAGACCCCCCTGGGACTTACGAGGTATGAAGCCTAGTAACTGTTCGTTGGGATCTCGTGGAGGGGCCTCTCGGGGGCCTCTTGGAGGCAGTTCTTGATGCCTCTTGGGTGCCGTTTTGGAGCCTCCTGGGGCCTCTTTTGAACCTTTTGGGGGTCTCACCTCTGGCCTCTTAGCGGCCTCTCCGGGCTTCCTGGGCGCCTCCTTGGGGCCTCCTGGGGACCTCCTGGGGCGGAGGGCTCGGACTTTCCGTTCTTTTCGCATTGTGGGGGTCTTTTTGGGCCGTCCCCTCTTGGGCCGCCTTGGGCGCATCTTGGCCCGTTTTGGGGCCGCCTTGGGCGTTTTGGGGTGGTCTTGGGGGCCTCTTGCTCAGTCTTGGGGCGTCGGAAGGCCGACAAGGCGAGAACATTTCAGGAACATCACTCGTTCTTGCATCTTGGGGCCCTCTTGGGAGGCCTCTTGGAGGCCTCTTGGGGTGTCTTGCAGGTAGCGTGGGCCATCTTGAGGCCATTTTGGGCGTCTTCGAGCGATCGCTCGGCGACTCGGGGACCTGTTGGACCGTTTTGGGGGCCTCTTGGGCCGTCACGGAAGCCTTTGAGAGTCCCAGGGAGGCGCCATGGCCGCCCATGGACCCCCAGTAATATGGGCGACGCCGTCCCCTGGGTGTGACCGGGAGGATGGGGAGGGGCCCCTTAGAAGGTCACAAAGACCTTGCCGGGCAGCCCTTGGCATTCTTCCACGCCTCAACGTGCCACGTGCACGATGGAGGATTTGACTAGGAGGAAGATGATGACGACAAAGGCAACGAAACGCAAGACGAGGACGAGAAGGTGCAGGAACATGGTGAGGATGAGGAGGGATAGGATATCATGAACTTGTGATCACGATGGTGATCACAGCAACGATTATGCCAATGCTGACGATGGCGGACGATGCGGATGAGGATGGTGATGGTGATTGTGGTGGTGAGAATGGCGGCGATTATGAGGACGATTCTGAGGATGTGATGAAGACGAGCTGTGTAGAAGACGATTTAGATGTTGTTGATGATGCGGCTGATGATGACCTTGTTGCTGCTGCTGTTGCTGATGATGATGACCAGGACATCGACGCTGACGACGACAGCTAGGCTCTTGCTGGTGGCGGTGACGATGCTGGTAATGACGATGACGATGACAGCGATGATGCTGCTGGTGTTGATGATGATGGTGATGATGATGATGATGATGGTGGCAATGGTGGTGGTGATGGTGATGCTGGCGAATCTGATGTTAATACTATTGCTCATGATGCTGATGATGATGATAATGCTGATGATGCTGCTGATGATGCTGACGATGATAATGACGATGCAGGTCACGATGATGATGATGATGATGATGATGGTGATGATGATGATGGTGATGATGATGATGCTGATAGTGATGATGATGATGATGATGATGATGATGATGATGATGGTAGTGGTGGTGTGGATGATGGTGATGTTGATGCTGCTGATGATGATGCTACTGGTGACGATGGTGATGATGATGACGATGGTGATGGTGGTGATGATGATGATGATGCTGATGCTGATGATGATGCTGGTTATGATGATGCTGATGCTGATGACGATGGCGATGATGATGATGATTATGATGATGATGACGATGCCGATGATGATGATGATGCTGATGATGATGCTGGTGATGAAGACGATGCTGTTGATGACGATGCTGCTATTGCTGATGATGCTGATGATGAGTATGATGCTGATGATAATGATGATGCTGCTGCTGTTGATGATGATGCTGTTGCTGATGATGATGATGGTTATGATGATGCTGATGCTGGTGAGTCTGACGATGATGATGATGATGATGATGATGACGATGACGATGCCGCTGACGATGATGCTAGTGAGTCTGACGACTGATGATGATGATGATGATTATGATGATGATGATGACGACGATGCCGATGACGATGATGATGATGATGATGATGATGATGATGATGGTGTTGATAATGGTGATGATGATGCTTCTGATGATGATACTGGTGAGGATGATGACGATTGTGATGGTGGTGATGATGATGCTGATGATGATGATTGTTATGATGATGCTGATGCTGATGCTGATGATGCTGCTGATGATGATGATTCTGATGATGATGATGACGATGTCGATCACGATGATGATGCTGATGATGATGATGCCGACAACGACGACGATGCTGATGATGCTGATGATGGTGGTGTTGATGATGGTGATGATGCTGCTGATGATGGTACTGGTGATGATGACGATGTTGATGGTGATGATGATGGTTATGATGATGCTGATGCTGATGATGATGCTGATGATGATGATGATTATTATGGTGATGATGACGATGTCGATGACGATGATGATGATGATGATGTTGATGTTGATGTTGATGTTGATGATGATGATGATGATGATGATGATGATGATGATGATAATGATGATGGTGATGATGATGATGATGATGATGATGATGATGATGATGATGATGCTGCTGATGATGACACTGATGATGTTGATGATGAACGAGTACTCGAGAGAGAGGGAGGCCTAAACAAATGCGCTAAGCGCAGACAAGCCTCGATCCTCGAGGGTCGAGGGGGAGGAGGAGGAGGAGGAGGAGGAGGAGGAGGAGGAGGAGGAGGAGGAGCAAGAGGAGGAGGAGGAGCAAGAGGAGGAGGAGGAGGAGCAAGAGGAGGAGGGGTTGGAGGAGGAGAAGGAGGAATAGGAGGAGGAAAAGGAGGAGGAGCAGCAGGAGGAGGAGGAACAGGAGGAGGAAGAGGAGGAGGAGGAAGATGGACCCCGAGGAGGAAGAAGAGGAGGAGGAACAGGAGGAGGAGAGGAGGAACATGATTTTCCCATACAGTGGATCTCAAAAGGTCCGGACCCCTTCCCCAGGACCGGCTTCCCATCCCGAGTGGTTTCTTGGCGGTTCGGGAGCCCGGGAAGGGCCACGAGGGGCCGAAACCGATACAAAACAAACATGGCGTCGTGATTTTGTCGTGGCCCGAAGGGGTTCGGGCGGGGCTAGGACAAGGACAAATGCGTTCCAGAGCGTCCCAGGACGCTCGCAGAGCATTCCAGATCGCGCTGAGAAGGCCGCGGCGCCCAAGGCGTCCTCCAGAGCCGCCGGCTCTCAGAGATCTCGATTTCTCTTCACCCGAATTTGTCCTCGTCCTGGCTTCGTCTTCCCTGAGATCAGACGTCTCGAGAAAAATCGAAACATCGTGAAACATCGCAGTTGGACCCCTATATCCAAATTTTTCCGCGCCAGTTTTCGAGGTGGATCGATCTGTGAGGGTCCCAGGGCCCGAATCTGCGGGGGGACACGACCGGCTCGAAAAAGTTGAGACGCCAGGACCTCGTGGCTCATGGGCGGAGAAGGGGGAGGAGCAGGGGGAGGAGGAGGGGGCAACTACGGCTCGAAGATGTGCGACAGCGCCCGGCTCGTACTAGTTGAGACGCCAGGATCTCAGTGGAGGAGGGTGTGGCGGGCGGCTGGGAGCACCGCGGCCGCCCCGAGAGGCCGCGCCGTTGCGCCCATGGCGGTGCCCCTGGCCGGGCACGCGGGCCGGGCCGGGGCGCCGCAGGCCCCCGGGCTGGGGCGGAGACAGCGCGGAGCCGCTCGGGCGGGTGGGTCCCGGGTGGAGAGGCCTGCCCACGAGGTCTGGGCGTCTCAATTTTTTCGAGCCGGGCGTTTTCGCCCAGTTTCGGCCCCGGGACCCTCACAGATCGATCTTGCTCGAAAACTGGCGCAGAAAAATTGGGTCAGGGGATCCAGTCGGGATTTTTCACGGTGTCTCAACTTTTTCGAGACGGCGGATCTCAGAGCAGGACCTTCTCCTCTCTTCTTCCTCGCGCACGTAGGCCGCAACTTCCTTCAGCGTGGCCAAGCTGCCTCCATCAGCTGCCCATCAGGCCGCAAGTAAACAGAGACAGCCAGGACACCTCCAGGCACTCCACCTGGCACATGCCCAGCGACTGCTCGCCCAGGTCCGATGATGGAGTCTCACACCGTCTGCTTCAGCACCTCCAATTTTTCGAGACGTCGGATTTCAGGGTAAGTGGGGGGTGGAGAGAAGGGCCCTACAGGGGGGCCCTTGAGGGCCCCTTTCGGAGCCAACAGGGGCCCAAAAGGAACCCTAGAGGGCCCCTTCAGGGCTCTTCTCTTCACCCCCCATTTAGGTCACTCCCCATGACCACCCGCCCGCGCCGTGTGCCCCGTGTGGCTTGCGCCTCCTGGCGTCGGTGGCGAAATCCGAACCCCACCCTCGCCGATCCACGGTCACGACGGGAGGCGTTTGGCCGTTCTCGGCCGCCGAGGGCCCACGCCAGGCCTCGGCACCGTCAAAAAACGACTCGGGATGAGAAACCTGCCCTGGGGACAAAGGTCGGGACTTCTGGGGACTGGGGGGAGGGTTGAGGACTTCTTAGAAGAACCCCTGCTTCTTAGAAGGCGCGGGCCTTACCTATAGCTGTAGGGCCCGCGCACTCTGAGAGAAGCAGGCTCTTTCTAAGAAGCCTTCTCCCCTCCTGCCACCCTCTTTGGCGCGCCGCCAACGTGTGCCGTGTGCTTCTGGCACCTCTTGGCGTCGGCGGCGAAATCTGAACCACGCCCTCGCCGATCAACGATTCAGGTAATTCGATGGGCAGCAGGGGTAGGATTCGGAATTCGTCGAACATGTGGCGAAATCCGAACCCCACCCACGCCTCACATCGATTCACGCGAATCGATGGTTGGTGGGGGTAGGGTTCGGGTGTCGCCACCTAGCTGGCGCCTCCTGTCGCCCGGGAGGCGCCAGGTTCTGTCCCAGGCGCATTCGCTTCGTGACAACTCGGGGAAAGGCTCGAGTTCGCCAGAGCTCGACACTTTTTGACGGGCCCGTCCTGGACTCTGACGGTCCAGCTTTCTTGGGATGTTTGCGGGGGTCCGTGTCAAATTTCAGATTGTGTCTCGTCATTTTCCTGACGTCCCCGTCAGGCCAACCCGAGTCCCCCGAACCCACGTCTTGAAAATCATGACGGGAGAGTTCTTGGCCGTGTTCGGCATCCGGGGGCCCTTGTGAGGCCCTGGGGCCGTCAAGAAATATTCGTAACGAAAAAACGGCCCTGGGGAGAGGGTCGGGACTCCCGGGGACCGCGTACTGAAATCATCAAGATGTCGCATGCTTGGGGTTGCAGCTTCGGGGGTCCTTGTCTATCCTCAACATTGTTGGTTTTCTTGTGCCCGGCGCGGGTTCCTGGCGGATTCGGGGAGTAGTTGTTGTGGGTTCGCCGCGGGTTCGACGTGGACTCGATGCGGATTCCACGAGTTCGACATGTATTCGACGCAGATTTGTCGTGGATAGCTTCGCGACCGGACAGGCAATGCCCCTCCAAGATGTAATATAAACCATCCGTCGCAATGTTGGCTCAAGCGCAGTTCTCTACACTCACACTGCACAAGGTCCAGTATACGGCCTTGCGGGTCAAGTGTCGTACCCGCATGCACTAACGAAATCTTGTCTTTCACATCGATGAGCCCGCAGATGGCTGTTCAGCCCTGGTAGTTTGCAGTGTTACTTGCTCACAGCATACAGGTCGCGAGTTCCACATATCCACTTCAAAGACGCGCAATCAACTGTCCGCACGCAGGCGACGACCTCGGCAACATACTGGCGCGTGTTAAATGCTGCTTACACGGGATGGCGCCTTGGGGTCTCAATGGTATCTTGGTGCGGGGATGTGGGTTGTACGGCTTTGCTTACTAACGGACAGGGGCCGCCGTCTGCGTCAGGTGTGGGAACATTATGCTCAGGCTACGATACAGTCTATCAAGACACGTGGAGCGCTGAAAGTTGCCACCTGGCCTACGACGGATCATCTTCAACAAGTTGGCGCCGCAGTGTTATTCTTGTACTGCGCGTGAGGCGTGGATTGGCGTTGAGTTTCCAGCGGTGGTCAACGTAATGTGTGTGACGGCCTCAAATCTAGGAGTCGGCAGCGGTAGTGGCTTTTCGTGGAGTAGAGGTCTTGTGGCGCGATCGGCAGACAATGGTCAAACCTGGCAGGACGTGGCTTCCGTGGGCAATTCGAACACCCTGTCGTTTGCGAACCTGGCGTCGACGCCAGCACCAACGCCCGCACCAACGCCCGCACCGACGCCATCACCAACGCTTGCACAAACGCCTGCACCGACGCCAGAACCATCGTCCGCACCAACGCCCGCGCCGATTCCAGCACCAACGCCCGTAGCGGTGACGACGAGTTCGGCTGTTGGCGGCCCCCACCTTCAAAACTAATTGGCGAGCGCTTCGTCTTGATGGTGCCAGGCAGCCATATTCTGATCAACGCCCCTCGTGGAGAGCTCTCTGCCAAAACATTGCTTCGTGTGCAGGCCGATGCGCGCCGATAGGGTGAGCATTGCAAGAACTTGTATTTCCAAGACCTGAGCGTGCCCGAGCGTTGGGCCAAGGCACAAAAAGCCTGGGGGTATCATTACAGCGCGTCGCAGAGCGAGGTCAAGGCTCCTGCGTTGGTTGCTTTTGGTAAGATCGAGCTGAAGGTCCTTCGCGGGCACACGGATGGTGGCATGCCGTGTTTGAATGTGTACGTGAAGCATTTGGGACGAGCGGGGTTCACTGCCGGAGGTCTTTTGGGCGCAGACGACCACAGTGACGTGAGCACGCCCGCGGCCGGGTGCAAGAAGGTGGTGAATCTGTTCGGCGGCGTGAGCATGCACCAGCACAGCACTATGTAGCAGTGGTTCCTCCGCGGTCTCAATCGCAGAGGGAGCATACGGCTATTTGGCTTTGCGTTCATTCATTGCGAGCCTTTTTA